GGACACTAGAAGCGACCCCCGAATGGCCAACCTGAGCCTAGTCCTCAGGGCCGCTAATTTTCAACCAGTGGAGATGGCTAGATCATTGTCTATTGCGTCTCATCCAAATCTGATGGGCAACATCACCCTACCCACGAACTTGATTGCCGTGGCAACACAATCCTATCTAGAGACATTTCCTCATGATATTGTAAAATATCTAGCCTTCAAACACCTCGAACGCCACGAAGAAAGCAAAATTTAGTTCCCAGCTACATTATGCTATGGGTGGCTGTAGATCCATCACGGCACAATATTTTGTGGAGGCAAATGGCGAATTCAAACACGCAGCCATGCAGCAACAACGCACAACCATAGGATGCATCTGCAACAAAAGCTGCAGATGAGGATACCAGCGCACCCCAAGTTGTTTCCAATTCAAAACAAATATACTACTGTTTGAAAATGATGAATTCCGAATATCCAAAACTGCATGGAAGACTGAAGCTTTTCAAACTGCAGCCATTTTCTGGCTGCACTATCAAGACCTGTTTGAATGATGAAAGATGACAGAAAACTTCGGTTGTGGGGAAGCAACAATCCCCACAACTTTCTTGCCGTGAAATGTGGAGAATAAAACTGATTTTAATTTCAAAAATTTGGTAGTTCTGAAATCCGAAACTGAAGTGCGGGTGGCCCGTGGGACGGGTTACCCCACACAGCGCCATGCGCATGGAAGGCGCCGGGCTCCGGCGTTGTAGGGGCCAAGTTAGTAATATTCTATTCTCAGATGCTGGCACGGCTTGTATAAGCACCACACGGTATTCACCGTGCAAGCATATATTGCAGGCGTCCGGTTGCCACACCCACAGCATGTCCATGGCCCAGGAAATGGGGAGCATTCAGAACAGATTGGTGGACATTTTCTTCTTGAAAATTATCAAAAATCGTGGTATCGGCCCTTGTAGCCCTTGACATTTTGCTCTCAGCCACATGGAAGTTCTGGCCTTAAGTACCCAACATTTTTGCCCCAAGTGCACTCTTGTAACTTCCTTGTCTATTTGTAACTGCAACTGGCAATCAACCAGTTTGCATCTGTTTCTTTGACGAGAATTCGAGAGCATAGGCCAACAGGATGCCCAGGGAATCGTCCCCTTTCTGATGCTGCGTCTATTTCTGACCGCTAGAATGGCTGCCTCTTGTTAGTATTACCAGCGGGCCTGAGGTGTGCTGTTATCCAGTGGGCCGTCTTTTTGTTAGTCACGTGTAGTTGTTGTGGTCATTACACACATGACCGACGGCGGTTTTAACACGTGATATTTGCGGGGCTCGTGGAATTTTCTGACTGCAGTGTTGTTGCAGATAGTTTAAAATACACCGTGGCTGAGGGCGCGCTCGTTGCCATTGCCACAAAAGGGAAACTAGTTTTCAGACAATAGCTACAGAGATGTGTTAATCTCGCCTTAAGGAATATATTTTCACTATGCAAACACCAACTTGATATTAGGCTGACCCCCTGCTCCCCTCTCCCTCTAAGGGCAGACATTCATTTAATTTCAGTATGTTTACCGTTCTGTTGACGGTAAGACCCAGAGGGTGGGGGGCGCGACCGTGACGTTCAAAGTTTGGACAATTGAACCAACATCAAAGTACGCCAGGAAGAGGCCCCGCCACCATTAAGACGCCACAAAAATCGCCCACAAGTTCGCGGCCTTTCTCTAGGGACCCGTGGTGCTACCAACCCACCGCTGTACTACAAATTGAGGCGGCACACAAGTTTTCATTGGAAGGCACATGCAACCGTGTGGTGTTCTGTACGGGACTTTCAAACCTGCTCTACAACAGCAACAAATTGTTGATCGCAAGCATGGCAGCATGCCTTCGAGGCTGTCGAAATGTCAGGAACCTTCGCTCTTGCTTGCGTTTGTGCAGACTGCCATAGGATATTAAACTCTTCAGTGACTTAACAAATTTGTCGTGTCGATCCACTGCTCGCAACGATGGTTTGTTGTTCCCCTCCTGCGCCGCAACGCCCTCAGGCTTGCGTTTAAGGTGCCTCTGCCATCCACATTCAGTCATTGACGACCACTGGCCGTTTTTTTGCTTGAGTAGTCTATTATTTGTTTACTGGTATAGTACCGTGTCACTTCTGTGTTCAGGCAGTTTTAGGTATGTGCATATAGGCATTGGCCAGCGCACATGATTGAATGTTGCAGGGGCCTGCAGCAAAGATTTCACTCCAATTTGACTTGGTTCAGGTGGAATTTTTCCCCAGTGGCTTAAAGCCCAGTATCAATTTGTCCTGTTGTCGAATTGCACATACAAGGCATAGTGCACAGTGATCCATTTCAATTCTTGTTCATCTGGCACATAAAAGACATACAAAGCAACACACAATATGAAGAGCAAACCTTACCCACACGTTACATGCCGACCACATCTGGTGACAACATGCTTAAAATGCAGATTGCCCACAAGCTTGAAGGAATGCAAATTCCCTAAACACAACATTTGCTTTCCACAATGTCTTCCAATACATATATGCATCAATGGCAAAAAGCTTGCAGAGCTTGTGGAATGCAAAGTATCATCAGTTCTCCGCTGGCAACGAATCCTCCTCAGGGAGTCCTTCCTCAAGGGGCTCCTTCTGAGGGAGCAGCTGACCACAGCACTCGCACCTCCTTGCCATTGCCTTAATACGTTTCATGCCACGCTGGCGTCCCATCAACCGCTCTAGGATAGGAGGAAATACAAGCTTCACCATGGCGTCCGCTACTGAAAGCGTCAAAGATGCCATTGCTCCTGTGATTGCCCACCCATCATCTTCCTCAATAACAATGATAAATGCGACTTGGAGGGCTACCTGTGGCAAGTCTTCCAGCAAAGCAGCAAGGTAGGCCACCCAAGCAAAGTGTTTGTGTGGCATCCCACCATTGGCAACCACCCTTTTGCCATCAACTTTGAGTTCTTCCCCCCAAGGCAAGTGTTTGATGATTTCAACATCGAGAAGCAAAAGACCAGGAAATAGCAAAAGCCAGTCATGTGTCTGCATACGCTTTCTCTCCTTTAAGTGGTCCATGAGTGACAATCTCTCTCCAATTCCATCCTCGTCTGCATGCTTGGTCCTCAGGCACCAGTACAAGGAAGACCGCAGACAACTGAGACACCACGACCACTACAATACTCGCAACACCTATTGCAAGGAGTTCTGTATAGGAACCATCTTGTGTAATATCTCCACCTGCCACTCCTTTCTTTGATTTGGTGTCCCAGAGAATGAAAACTGTGACAATGAACCCCACATCTGATAGCACATCAGCCAATGCCAACAAATGAGATGCAAACATGTCTTTCATTGTGTCCAATGAGATTCTCTCTTTGTAAGGGGAGCTGATTGTCACAGCAAGGTAGTAGAGAAGCAAGAGAGATATAAAAACCAACATCCCAATAATGGCAAAACCAACAAGTGTGGGAGTCAGAGTCTCCAACACACACACCTTCCTGACCAACCTTTCAGACGCAACAAAGACAGATGACATTGGAGACATGCTCTCCCATTTCCGGCAACCTCCTTGGCGATAGGGAAGTGGATCACTTGAGACAAAATCTCCAATTTGCTCACCATTTGATGTGATCCTTGTTGTCCCATCCACCATAGCCAAACTCTTCAAACTGACATATTGCAAGTTTTCATTGCCATCAATTTGCAAATCTCCCTCTACCCTTGCAAGGGAACCAAACCCATCCACACTTTCCAAATCTTGGTTGGATGAAATGGTCAGACCATCAACAAATTGATCTATTTCTCGAAGACCTCTATCTCCTCTCAATGAAATCAAGCTGTCAAATCCTCGAATGGATCCCAGTCCATGGTTGGACTTGATTGACAGATGGCCACTCAGGTTCCCTCTGAGATTATTAAATGTGGATAAATTTTTCAATCCAGCAAGAAATATGTTGCTGTGGATTGTCAAACTGCATTTTCCCATGGTATTAGAGCATACAACCTGCAAGTTTGAAAATGATAGGGACAACAAATTGTTGCCTTCAAGTACCAATGAGCCCCCAACATTAACTAGACTTGGTAGCGCCATGTTGCCCAGGCCACTCATAGAGTTGAAGGGGCGATTGTTTTCAATCCGCAAGTCCCCATTCACTTGGGTGATGTTGCCCAGGCCATCCACATCAGTGAGGGCATCATTGCTCTCAATCCGCAAGCTCCCATTGACTTGGGTGATGCTGCCCAGGCCATCCACATTAGGGAGGGCTTCATTGCTCACAATTTGCAAGTTCCCGTTCACTTGGGTGATGTTGCCCAGGCCGTCCACATCCAACAAAGCGGCATTGTCCCCAATCCGCAAGTTCCCATTCACTTGGGTGATGTTGCCCAGGCCGTTCACATCGGACAGGAAGGCATTGTTCCCAATCCACAAGTCCCCATTCACTTGGGTGATGTTGCCCAGGCCGTTCACATCCAAGAGGGCGGCATTGCTCAAAATTGACAAGCGCCCATTCACTTGGGTGATGTTGCCCAGGCCGTTCACATCCAAGAGGGCGTCATTGCCAACAATTTGCAAGCTCCCATTCACTTGGGTGATGTTGCCCAGGCCGTTCACATTCAAGAGGGCGTCATTGCTCTCAATCCGCAAGCTCCCATTGACTTGGGTGATGCTGCCCAGACCGTCCACATCAGGGAGGGCGTCATTGCTCAAAATCCACAAGACCCCCTTGACTTGGGTGATGTTGCCTAGGCCATCCACATCAGAGAGAGCGTCATTGCTCCCAATCAACAAGCCCCCGTTCACTTGGGTGATGCCGCCCAGGCCGTCCACATCAGAGAGGGCATCGTTGCTCCCAATCCACAAGTCCCCATCCACTTGGGTGATGTTGCCCAGGCCGTTAACATCCGAGAGGGCGGGATTGCTCACAATCAACAAGTCCCCATTCACTTGGGTGATGTTGCCCAGACCGTTCACATCCAAGAGGGCGTCATTGCTGACAATTTGCAAGCTCCCATTCACTTGGGCGATGTTGCCCAGGCCATCTACATTTCTCAGGAATTTGTTCTCAACCATCGACAAATTCTTTCCAATGGTTTTTAGTCCAGCGAGCGGTTTTAATGATTGCAGGGTAGTGTTGAGGATGACAATGCTATGCTGCACTTCCTTCAAGAGTCCAGCCAAAGGTTCAAGGGAAGCCAGCTCATGACCTGAAATATGCAGAGCATCTACCACACCACTTGTCTCTCTTAAAACCTCAACAAGTCCCTCCAAGGACACATCTCCCAAATCATGGCACTTGCATACTGTGGGTTCAAAGACATCGAAACTAGCGACACACTTGATGTCATCCAAACAAATGCATGTTGAGGTGAATGTCTGGTCAGAGCATTTTGCCCAAGTGCCACTTGCAACAAATATCACCCCAACACACAACAAACCAAGCAAGCATCCACACACTGTCCTATAAGCCATCGAGAAATACATCATCTTCATTGCCAATTGGGCTGGAGCTGGTGATTGATAAACCTCCTCTCAAATCATGCAGAAATCTGCCCCCTGCACACAGCAAACACACAACATGTAAAATGGTTCTGGAGAAAAAGTAGTATAGTCTACAGAAGTGCAACAGCCAAAATATAGGGTTAAAATTCTATAGGTTGCTGCAAACAACGTGAGTGTTGTCTTGCATATCGGACAGGTGCCCAATGTTTCTCTGTCAAACACACTCTGCAACAGAGTAACAAAGTAACAATTACTCGCCCCCTCCGCCCCCTCCGCCCCCTCCGCCCCCTCCGCCCCCTCCGCCCCCTCCGCCCCCTCCGCCCCCTCCGCCCCCTCCGCCCCCTCCACATGAGATTCGCTACCCAGCAAAAGAAGGGCAACACCGAAAAGGAGTAGAGGCAAAGAAAGCCTCTCTGTAAGGAATGAATCTAGGCGAAGGTCCCAAGGAAATGCCAAGGGCAACAACCCCCAACGATGGGGAAGCGCAGAAGCTGGTAGAAGTGCAAAAGATGCAGCAGCAGCAGCCTTTGCATAACTACTAGCCCACTTGCTTGCTCGCTTGTGCGCTCACCCACCCACCAACTCACTCATGATTCAATGCTCCAGCCATCCTAGTTTTGGGCACACAAGGTGAGTGGGGGTGGCTGCCCTTGCAAACACATCTGCCTCAAGTGACAGGGAATTCAGAGCAGCAAAAGAGTGCAGGCACATCATGAAACTATTGAGGAACCGCCCTTTGACATGCTGCAATCTTGAGTGTCAGCAACCTGGCAACACAGCCCACAAACTGCAAGAGCATTACAACTTGCACCATGTTGCACTCTGCTAACATGTTGGTAATTTTTGACAGCACCAATCGCTGTGGGCTACACGCCAACAAGCGCCAACACTTGGGGCTCAACATCCTTTTGTAAAGGAAGACACTAACTCTTAACAGTAGTCATTAACATACTGCATGTTCCCTAACATATTTCAAACTTCATCATGGATGTACCCTTAAGGGCAATTGTGCATCCTTTTACCCTTGGCTTCAATTCCATCTAGTCAGTCTCTATGTATTGTGCTCCCCCCTGCATCAGCAGGGCATGTCAATATGCATGCATGCTGTGCTGACCTACATGAGCGACTGACGAATTCCAACAGCGACGGTCGTTGGAGACCTCACATCACTCTTGGTAACAGCAGGATGGCTGGTGGTGCTTGCGTGCAGTGTGCAACTATGCAAGCGAATAACAATGTGTGCAGTGATGGTCATTCGCAATCATGCGTCACTCTCAGAATCAACAGGCTGATATTCCCTGCAGAAATATGATGTGCATATGCAAAGCGTGTGGCAAGCATCATCGGCACACATGTGCTGAGGAGTTGTCACCACACAGTTAGAAATGTTACTGATTTGGCGGATATCAACCAGGGAACTGATATTTGCAGCATAAATTCGTGTCAAAGATGACAGCACATTGCTCGTGTTATTGGCTTGCCTGTGGATCACGTCCTTTTTTCAATCGCCACAGTCGATGCTTGCACTGTGCGTTTGGCACCTGTGGTAAATTAAGTATCTTTCTGAGGTCGTAATCGTCAGCCACGCACATAGCCCTTCAGCGATCTACGTCATTGCTTAATTAACCAACGACCTTGTAAGGCACTGGAAAAGACCGAACTCTTTATGTACTTAGCCAAGGCCCTATTGCACGTGAATCCCCTGCCTGGCTTGTGTGCGGCGCTCATCGCACACTAGGAGCACACAGCCAGCACAGCGGCTCTGACAAATTCAGCGCAAAAACGCTCGCGGGGTCACAGCGTAGGTGGTTCAAAAGACCCGAGGCACCGGTGCATGGGCCCGAAGTGGCCGACGCTGCCGTGTAAAACTCCCCGAGAGGGGGGGGGGAGGGGGGCCGGTACGCTGGGCCGCCCATCTACATTCATGTGATCGCCTGTGTGGTTGATACCCCCCTTGCACACTGGGACTGGGCCAAAAAGAACGCAGCACCGATCGCGCCGCTAACAACTCTGGAAGTCCTTAAGAACCCCTAACGGGCGCGGAGTGGCCTGCGCAAAAAGCGATAAAGCGCGGCGTGGATGCCCATCCTGATAATCGTACCCCTACGGACTGCAGCACAGGCCGATGGCGGCGTCAACAGCACAGGAGGGTCCATAGCGACCCAGGCCAGGGGCAGGCCATCCCGATGCGCCTCACAATTGCAGGCCACTTCGCACAGTTACTCGGGTCACACCCCGAGAGGTACCCCCCAACCAGCTTTTCGAGCCAGCTCACCGGCCCAGCAGGTTGCCAATCATCGCATGCCACCCATACCAAACAGAGAAGGGTGCGCGGCTCACCTTGCACGCGCGGCTTCTCCTTACTCCTCCCGACTCGGGGGCCCTGCGTTGAAATGGACATTGTGTCAGGCTCGTCGTCGGACATGGCGGGCTCTCGTACGCGGGGGGGGGGGAATGGTGCTTCCCATGTCTCCCACGACACGTCACCATTCCACACGCATCGCTGCAACGATGCTCGCGCATCACGGCAAGGGAACGGACAAGCGGCCCAGGCGTCCGGAAGGATGAGGAGGTCGGCCGACGGCGATGGCAAGGGCAGGGGCGTCGACCCAGGCGCCGCTACGTGGCTACCCCATTCCGCGAATGGCCATGCAACAAATCTCTATACCTTTCCCGACAGAGGGCCTACCGGCAGTGCGCAGAGCGTCGTCCACACTACTCACAGGTGTGGCGACTCGCAGAGCGCTAGCCAAAACACGTCGCATCGGCGACCAAGGTATCCAGAGCCTTTTGCGCCCATATTTATGGGCCGACGGTTGTACCTGAAGGGCTACCTCAGCGCCACGCGATGTCCACCTCTGCCGGCTTTGGCGTCCAACATGAATCGGTCCATTCCAGTAACCCACATGATGGCCGCGCCACGCAAGCGAACGGGGGGTTTGATGGTTCATGGCATTATCTGATTGGTGGCGTCATCACGCTGTGGGTGGATTGGTCAACGGGACCAGCGCCCGAGGTGACGCCGGACGCCTCCCCAGCCACTACCTACGTACAGCATATTCCGTTCTTTGTGGCCAGATTGGGTCACAGGGTATCGCACGTGTGATTCGCCCGCACTGCAACAGGCCGGGAGCGGCCTGAGCCGACATCACACACCACGGGTTCCAGCTGGTCTCGCAGTCCCGGGTCGGACTCAACCCTGAATCGCCTACCCCCCCCCCCTCCCCTCCCCTCCCCGCCACGGCCCCTGCTGTCGATTGTGTGAAGGCGCCTTTGCTGTGTGCGCGCCTTGTGGGGCTCGGCTCCTTGTCCAAACAGGCCAGCCCTGACAGCGACTTGGCTGGTCAGCGGCCAGAGGCAAGAGCTTCGGGCTGGAAAATTTCTGGCCGAGTCGACTGGGTGAGGAGGCCCCCCCCCCCCCCGGGGGGGCGGGCCCATCAACAGTGGCCTGGGCGGCAGCTGCTGCCTGTAAACCCAAAGATGGGGGGAACGTCCCAAGCAAAGCAGCTTTTCCCGCGCAGAAGGGATCCTCCAAGGCCAGCGCTGACGGGTGTTTTGGGTTTTCTCTTTCCGATCGATGCCCCTTCGTGGCGAACCAGGGCTGGCTGACGTCGGCGGCGCGATCTTGGGGCAACAGTGAACATCGCGTGGAACAAATTTCCGCTGGCACGGAAACCAGATCCTTGGATCGGTGCCGCGCCGCTCGAGCTGCAATCTTGTTTGGAGCCCAGAGAAAGATCAAGAAGGAACTCGCGGAAGAAAGCCGCAGCGACCGAGGGATAGAGATTCCCGGCCTTTCTTTGTGGACCAAAGATTTGAACGGAGGCGCACAAGTGTGAGGGTCCGCCCAGCAACGTCCAGGGCAAGAGATCTCCCGAGACAAAACCGCGACACCCCGAGGCCTCACGGGGCCGGAACGGCCTTTGCGCCTTTCATCACCGCGCGTATCGAAGCGGACCTGGCGAGACCCGTTTACCGCACTGCGAAACGGCGCCAAGCGGCCGCCAGGTACGATAGCTGCACGCTGCTGCGGCGGTGGCGCTCACTCGAAGACGCAGGGCGTTCACCAAGACGGTTGGGTGGCAGACGCCCCAGCCCAAACTGTCGCATTTCCCGCAGCACTGCCACCACTCGTCCCTCCGTCTCCGCTCGCCACCCGAACGGTCGATGGCGAGGGCCGTGTACGCGGGGCCGCCGCCCATGGGCGCACCCACCTGAGGGCCTTGCAGCGGAGTGTATCCGGCTTTTCCGGTCTGCTAGGCCACCACGGAGCTGCGGGCGGCGGGCGGATTGACGGGCGAGGAGTGGTGGCGTGCGGCGCTCTCTGGAGTGGCGAGGAGGCCGAGGAGGCACTTGTATGAAGGACGCGCCAGCTCTGACTAGCTTCCACCATTTGTGTGTGGACCCGCGGGTACGCAACAGGCACAATGTTGGTCCGGGAAATTCCGGGCGCTGAGTCGCTTACCATGCTGCCGGATCACACCACTGCTGCGAAACGGTGAATATTTCTTTCTGCGACAGTGGACTGTTCTTTTTTGCGACAGCGCCAAACTACTATTTTTGGCGACAGTGGCCAGGACTGTTCGTTTTTGCGACAGTGGCGCAGTTGTTCTTTTTTGCGATTATGGCCATGACTAAACAGTGGCTTGGGAAGTGTCGCGAACGGGCGGCTCAAATTGGCACTGAGCCTTTGGGCTGCGGCGACCCAGGGGGTACGGGAGGCATTCACAATCGGACACGCGAGGAAGGACAACTCTGTCGCACACGAACCGAACCCGTCCTTACAGATGGAGTGAGTGTTATTTATAGCTTGATGATGTGACGGTTCAAGAGTTGCTGTATCCAGAATCCTCACTCTGGCCACTTTCACGAGCTGGCTGGGTTCGTGTCCCTTTCTCATGCCAAGTTTCTATTCCCGCCGCCCATACCAACTATGATCCATTGCCAACTAGCCCAGCAGCTACCCGCGTACACTACCCACTCCACTCTCC